GCGTGCTTTTATAAATTTTTTCATACAAATTTTGATGGTAAATATTTCCTTCACCTATTGAAGGATTACTTCGAGAACCCTTATTGTTCTCATTTTTTACAATTACCATAATGATGACTATTATTATTTGATCGATGGCACGCCCATGTTCATTGGTCAACACTTGTCTTCATTTACTTATTATGCATTGCTACCACATTCACTTCAAGAATGGTGCAAATCAAGTGGGACAAGATTCATGCTTTTCCATGAAAAATATATTATTTTTCTTTAGTCATCACTATGTCATCCATATGGTGCATTGGAGCTCAAACCCAATGCCTGACCCATATAAAAATATATTAGGCCATAATGATTTGGGACTCAAACCCAACTTTTACAGTCATGGATCATCAGGACTCAAAATCCAATTTCTTACCCTCATGGTGCGTTGAGACTTGAACCCACCGTCTTATCCTTATATAATGTTTATCACAAATGGTCTGATTCACATTCGGAATGGAATATAATTTTATCTAGCCACATAGTAAAATCTATCATAAAAATAAGCAAAATAGAAATGATAAGAACTATTATCAATAAAAATATGATAGAGTACAAACTCGTGTACTAGTATCCTATATATAAACATGTCAATAAGAGAGTCACCATGTAGCGTTATTACTATGTGATGTATTACTGTAAACTAATACATGATGATTAAATAAAATACACACAAGAATTGAAAGACATAACTAAATATACTTAACTTAGAAAAATAAATAATCTTAAGTAATAACTATTGCTAGCATATTCTGTTTTAATACAGATGATGTCAAAATAGGCTAGTAAAACATAATGATATCACTTTGTCAATTATCAGCATAAAAGTGTTGCATCTAATTAGATTAGGCCATCGATCTTAAAAGTCCTCGTTAATACATAACATGACCAGAATGCTTTTTAATGTTTCACAAAGATCTTTTAATATCATAGAAAATCAATGATAGCATGATGTTATAATTGTATAAGATAAATTTTAGAACTAGGAACAAAGGTAGTGGACATATACAGCCATACGAGCATGAAAACTTAAAATCAAAGCTTAGTTTTTTCTAAAAAAAAGCAACTACAAATCTTAAATTTTAACATAAGATAAATACACAATTTATGGCATAATTTGAAAAATAATACTCCCTGGACAATAGAGGCAAACTAAACATTAATATGGCATACGTAATAATGCCCATATTTCCATTGGTTCAACCAAATTGGTTCAAGGTTGTCGACCATTCATATCTTCTAGGTTGATTAAAGCTTCGTGCTGATAACGTTTTATAAAACTTAGCTAAAAGTAACAATATAGAACAATAAAATAGACAACAATGTAGAGAGGAAGAGAGGAGAGAATCTTATTTCTTCTATGTATTCAAGTGTATACAATGTGATGTCAAAGCCCTCTATTTATAGGATGACATTGAGGTATACAAAGGGATATCATAAACACGGTATTAACTATTGAGATCACGGGGAAAGATCATGGGGAGGTTATGGAGGTGTGGGAGTTACAACTATAATGGTGAGAAGTAGTGGGAGTTATCTACATAATGGAGAAGAGTAGTGGGAGTAACTTCTTTAAGAGTTATAGACATCCACTACAAAATAATATTTCATAACATATTTATCTTTTTTCTCCTTTTTTTGAGTTTTTATCATTATTCTATCTTCATAACTCTCACCTCATTATCTTCCTAACCAATATTTTTAATAATCTCAATAACTCTTTTGCCTTTTCATATTCATAACCCCCAAATATTTAATATGTAAATTTATGACAATTTATCTTATTATTTTACATTTTTCCTTCAACTATCTTATTTAGCATAATGGAATAAAAAAGAAATTAAAAGCCTGATGCATTTGCGTAATAAAGCCCAAATGACCAGTAAAATTAGTAGTTTTCTAAAACAGAGCCACATTGCACTTAAATATCGTTTGCATTTAATTTTTATTTTTTTATTGTTTTAAAATTTTCATTTTCATAACTCACAACTCTTTAACTTCTACTCTTAATAGTATCCGTAATTCCTATGCTTTTCATAACCCCCAAATATTTAATTAAAAGATTTAAGATACTTTATGGATTTGCGAGAGAGAGTATCAACAACAGCTCGGGAAACTATGCATTGATTTTGTATTTCTTTTCCCTTTTATATTCTTATGATTAAGATTCTAAATAGAATGTGTGTTGTATTTTTTTTTCTTGTACTTTCTCTATGACTTTGAGAAATAGTATACTTATGTAATTTGCTTTAAGATCGGTGTAATTTCTATGAACATCTAGCACGTTCTTTCTGATATTGATGTATTTTAGATATATACTAAAGTTCAAAACACACACACACACACACACATACATACATACATATATATATATATATATATATATATATATATATATATATATATATATATATATATATATATATATATATATATATATATATATATCGTCGACGGCGTGCAACCCGATCCATAACTATCCTCACAAATCGGCCCTCGGCCTCACTCACTCATCAACCTCACAAGCCACTCGGGCACCTCAGTGCAAACTCAGGGAACTTAGCCCAAAATATGTTCATAAATATTAAAATAGAGTGATGAAGAAGATTTAACAATATACAGGTATAAACCATGACTTAGGATAAAGCTTTCTATCAAAACAATGTGAGGATAATAGTAAAATACCCCTAAGGGTCCAAACAGTACGGCACAAGGCCCCAAACATGGCATTCAGCCCTAGTTAGCAGAATCATTTCTAGAACACATAGATATCATACAGAGTTTATCAAAATATGCAACTCTACAGTTGCAACGGGACGGACCAAGTCACAATCCCTACGGGAGTATGCCCACACGCCCGTCACCTAGCATGTGTGTCACCTCCTTTAGCAAAATAGTACGAAATTCTAGGGTTTCATACCCTCAGGTCGAGATTTACAATAGTTACTTACCTCAACCCGGACGAAAATCTACTCTGCAATGCCCTTGCCTCCTGACTCGGCCTCAGATTTCCCCGAATCTATCGAAAATCAGAATCATATATTCATTACATGCCAAAAGAAAGCCCACGTGAAAATTATCAATTTAAATCAAAATTCCCGCAATTGGCCAAACCCGACCCCGGGCCACGTCTCGAAATCCCGATAAAAACTCACAACACTAGAATCCTTATCCTCTCACGAGTGTATACATACCAAAATCATCAAAATCGGACCTCAAACTGGCCCCTCAAATCCCAATTTAAACTCTCCAATTTCAAGCCCTAATCTCC